GTTTGTAGCCACATACTGTCAGGTGGTTTCAAACCTGAACGATACAACTATTATGCATTCTTATTGTTCCCATCCAATTTTTAACTGTGATCAGTTGGTTATGAAGGCTACTCACAAATTGACTATTTTAAATCTTCTTCCATTTATTGGCTCTAAATTTAATTTTCATTATCATTTCATCTTAATTAATTTAAGGAAACTAGATAAAGTCTAAAGAAAACAGGATACTCATAAGGTTTAAAGTTGAATTGATATATATGTTATCTCAAGTGTAAATGACAGTTCATGATTGTATTAGTAGTAATTAAAACTTCATACACACATTTTTTTTAAATCATACTACTTTTTATCAAATTATAGTCCAGTGAAATCTACTCATTCACTCTGAATAAACAGAAATCACTGTTAGATACTGCAAAGTAACCACTAGTAATTCATTAATAGAAGAGAAGATTTACAGCTTAGATGGAGGATCTAACTTGCTGACGGAAATGGAAATACTTTTGATTGAAGTATGGTAACTGTAAATCTCTCTGCTAGTGACTAGTGAACCACTTGTATCAATATTTTGGTGTGTATCTAAGATTCAACTGATTATTTATAATTGATAGCTATCCTCCATTCATTAAAATCCACTCCATATTTTCATCATATGAATAGTTTTCTATGGCTATCAATGAGATGATAAATAAACGATGGCTATTTTGATATAGTTTACAAGTGTTGTTATGATATGCTCTCACGAGGTGTGCAACATAGATGGCACTGAAATAGAAACCAAGTCGGAAATTAAATACCTAGGCGTCATTCTATCTGCTGATCTTTCCTGATCGTCTCATATCTTGACGATTTCTAAGAAAATATTCCGTCTTACCTTCTACATCAAGAAGTTAAGACATTCTGGTATAATCCAACCCTTACTCCTACAATTCGTTAACTCTCGCATCCTGCATATTATTCTCTATTGTTCCCCCTTAGTTTTTCCCGGGCTACTGAAGAATGACTATAACATATTACGCAGGATGTTAAAGGTTGTCAGCAGAGTAAGCAACGTGCCATTTAACCAGCTTGTTAATATTCTGGTTGACAAGCACATGGAATTATGTGAAAAATGGGCTAAATCCATTCTATCTAACTCACACTACCCTCTTCATTCACAACTCTCCCCTTGTATCTCATCAAGCAAAACCAGAAGCCTATATAGAAAACTATATCCTAGCACTAGCAAGTACAAAAACTCAACCATACCCTACTTAGCTCGTGTTCTGTGCGATAAAGAAAGCATTAGGTGTGAAACTTATAGCTTATTAAATAGTCAGTAGAACAACTGGATCTCGTCTTTCCAACTCATATCATTTGTAGGTACAACATTTTCTTTCTTTCTTTTCCTTTTCTCTCTCTCTCTCTTTTTTTCCGTTATGTGATGCTTTGTTTCTTTCTCTCGCCTACGCCAGTAAATATGACAGCACCTACTTTTCTAACACCTTCAAACACTGTTCAATTTTGGCTTTGCTACCGACATGCCAATATGTTGTTGTCATAGTGAACTGGGATTTCCTTAATCTATGTAGAATTCTATTTATTGATAATGTACTAACTGGATGCAATACTGTAGCAAAAATGCTGAGAATTCCATTCTATATCACAAGTACTCTTTTGGAATAAAGCAAATTATTATTATTAATGTCTTAATCATGTTGAAGAAATAAACCAAGAAGCTCTGAAATCCTTCTAATGAATCAGTCCATTCTGAAGTCGCATAAGCAGTCAGGTGATTGTATGAGTGAAATATTGACTAGTATGGTAATATGAGTGCCATGTGTATTTCTAAAGAAATATAAAAGTAATCAGTGCATATAAAGCCATCCTTCTGTATGAATTAAACTCTATAACGAATCTACTGAAACTTCCATAATCATCTTTTTTTCTTTAGGTTTATATTAATCACTAATTTTCCAATGGTATTCATAAGCTCTCTCAGTTGAAATGTATTATCTACCAGGCATCTTAAAAGTCAGAATTCACTTTGCAACCGAACTTAACGTTCCCTGAGACTCGTACATAATACCATAATCAGAATCACTGGTTATGTACTAAGGGATAAATGACACATTTAGTGTAGTGACCGTATCATTTGCTTCACCTGTACTCTATACTGCATATATAGTTTCGTCTATATTAAAGGAAAAGCTCAAAATCGATTGTGCTAGGCAGTTAAACATTGTCTATTATCCAACGGATATTCAGGACAACTTCAAATGTTGTACATACAAACAATCATCTAAGATAATTGGTGGATGTCGAGTATCAGTGGAATCTAGGATGCGCATTTCGTCCTACTCTTCAGCTGAATGTACCTGCATTCCACAGTGAGTGGTGATGTTCCCACTAAGGCTCGAACCCAGCGCCCGTAGTTTCAGACGCCAAAGCGTTATCGACTAGACCACTTAGGCCACTTACTGTGGAGTGCATGTACATCCGGTTGACGGGTCCCAAATAGGACGAAATGTGCATCCTGCATTCCACTGCTAGTCACCATCCACCGATTGACTTCTAATAACATGCCCAGACAACTTTGAAGCGTCTGAACAAGAAGCCTGAGACCGAGCAATTCGGTTCAATCAGTCGACGGGAAAATCTAAAATTGAATTAAATAATCATCTAAGATGTCTGTTATAATTAACACATAAATTATAAAATATGTTTTTCGGGTAAAAAAAAAAAATTTGATTGAAGTCAACTGAAAATATACTCATGAAGCCCAGTAAATTTTTGTTATACAGTGAGTCAGCACTTTGTTGAACTTTTGTTTAGTAAATTAACATGGTAGGTAATATAATTTATGTCATGACCCAAACTGACGACGTTGTAGTCTGAATGCAGAAAACCAATCTCTGATTTCCATTGTATGGCTGTCCGATACTTCCTTGAGACACTCACAGTCATAAAACTCTCTTGTGTGGTTCCACATACAAATTAATAATATCAAAAAAAGTCAACAATGCCACTAGGTAGCTATACAGACAGGGAGGGTTTTCACGCATCAAACAAGTACTGTAGAACAAAGTCAGTTAGCAAAACCCAACTGTAAAAAGTATCTGAGACTCATATGTAATATTCTAAACAAGGAATTCAAAACTTTGTGCTCAAGAATCGTACTCCAACAATGCCGGCATACAGTCCAAGGTAAGAATGACCTTCATTCACGTAAAAAAATCACATCGCAAGACAACACATTATCAACATCATCACACAAACCCCAAACAGAAGCATTAAAATCAGGGATTAAATAGGGAAAAGGGCAAATAATAAGAGTCAAGTCAACATATGATTTGCAAATATCGAAATAGTGATATACATTCTAGGACAGAAATCGAAAATAATTATAGAGTTAGCTGAAACCAACCAACAACAACAGCAGCAACATCCAGCGCCAATCACCATCAACGGGAGGGATTTGAAAGAGGTTACTTCATTCACTTCACTTATCTAGGGAGCATTGTCTCAACTACAGGAGGAACGGACGAGGATGTCAAATCGAGAATCGGGAAGGCGACAAACACATTCATCAACCTGAAACCAATCTGGAAATCTTCGTCACTCAACTCAGCATCAACAACAAAATTCGGATTTTCAATACAAACGTCAAGTCAGTCAGTTCTTCTATACGGATGGATCAGAAACTTGGCGGCGGGTCACAAAGAATATTTCCAACAGCCTGTTGCAGACCTTTATCAACAACTGTCTTCGCTGGCTCTATACTGAAGATCAGATGGCCGGAAAGAAAATGAACCAACAAGAAACTATGGGAACAAACAAAACAGGAACCAATCACTCAACAATATGCAGGAGAAAGTGGAGATGGATTGGACACTCGCTGAGGAGGCCGTTGGGGACGTCGCGCGTCAGGCCAGTGCTCGAGTGGAACCCGAAAGAGAAGCGGCGGGTGGGACGTCCAAGGGTGACATGGAGGAGATCGTGTAAAGAGGAGCTGAAACAGTATGGATTAACCTGGATGCAAGTGAAAAGTACAGCAGAAGACAGAAGCAAGTGGAGATGTGCAGTTGAAGCCTTATGTTCCACTAGGAACCCAAGGGAACAATAATAATAATAGCTGAAACATCCAAATCAGGACAAATATTGTCATCAGATCATTGAGATGGAGGGATTTTTCAAACAGTCATTCAGTTACAGTTTATGCTACCACATACTATAAGATGCAGTATCACTATTCAATAACTAACTGACTAAGAGAATTCTGCATCAATATTTATATCTACAAAGATTGGTTTGGAGGACGTAGGATTTTACATCGCTGACAGTCAGTGCCACAGATTAGCTCTTCAGTAATATGATTAGAACAATTTTAGCAGAAGTACTAAAAGTATTGTTTAATTCCTGTCTTTATGGGAAATTCTATAAAATATTATTATTAAAATGTGGTAACTGCGTACAATATAGGTGACATTTTCAGATGTCAATGTCACAAGTCACCACACATTTGAATTGACAGAAAAATTGTATGTTCAAAATGTAACTACATATTGAGGAACACACGGAAGTGTCAAATCGTAGAAAATACCTTTCAGAACACTAAAGAAAGACAGCGAAATAAAAATCTTAGCAAAAATATCTTTTCGGCGATTTCATCCTCAAAAGCTGTACAACTGCATTTTTATGACTGAAGATAAAAGACGTGTGTCCACATACCAGTTCACTCATAATCCCCTAAATCTTTTAAATAACTTAGTAATGTGTCGTTTACTGTCAGTTCACATATATAAGTCAACATAATTACAACTATTATCTAATTCAACATAATAACAAAGTGAGATTAAAGAAGATAATTATAATCATTTTTTTAAGAAATTATATGCGGTGAGGGAATCGAATCAAAGGTGTGAATACACGAAATAATAATAATAGTAGTATGAAATGCAATTAAAATATGTGTGATTATAATCACAGTTAAATGTCATATATATAGAATAATTCATAAGGTGTAAAGATGTTGGAAAGGGGTACATAATTATAGGATTAATAGGAGAGTAGAAACGCTATGTAATATGGTGTGAAATTTGATAAGACAGAATTCAATATTGTAAAAAAAATATAATCTTGGATTTAGAATGACAAGTGGGACAAGCGGAGACAATTCAAAGTGAAAATAGGAATAATAATAATCGTAGAAATAAGGGAAAGGTACATAGAATAACCAAATAAACAAAATAAATAAATAAATGTATATCCTTCTACGGTCAAGGCAGAAGTAGGGATTGTACATACTTCTTTTGGTACATAGAGGTCTGGCTTAATGTCATGAATTGCCAAGGCCTCCGCTGTCTTTAGAAGTCTGTAACAAAGAAAGCGCGGCAAGTTACCATGGATTTGGTAGATGATCTTAAAATCATGTTCAGGATTGGTAGAGTGACAGGAGTTGATCACTTGTGTTCTAGAATAGAGTTTTGCACACACTTCCTTTCTTCCTTGTGAAACCATGCTGGGATATGTTTTCATATAATGATTTTCAACTTGACATGAAAGTTTGAAGACAGGAATGTAGATCACCTGGAGCATAAGAACAAAATTACATAGGATTAGAAAATAGCTGAGGGGAGTATAGAGAATAGTTGAAATAATAGAGAGGAAACAAATGGAGAAAACAAGAGCTAAAGTGACAAACAGTGTTAAAGTTCATTGTAAATTGAATAGACATTTACCATCGATTTAGTTCTGTCCGTTTAGTATGTTGAATTTTATAATAGTTTTATAACTGTTTCAACTTATGTATAAAAATGCAATTGTACAACTTTTCAGGTTGAAATCACCGAAAAATAAATATCCACTGAATAAAAGAGAATCATATGAATTGATTGAAACACCGGAAGCTCAAACATCCCATTGATTCCGTGAGTAAATTATGCGATTATACTTCCAATGAATAAAAATCCTCTGGACTACAAATGATAAAACGTTTTCATAAAAATCATTAGTAATACGAACTACATTTTGAAGTATTTCTTCATTTTATCCTTCTCAGTGAATGGAATGCTGTTTAAAAACCTTGACTTAACATTCCAGAGAACAGGATTCGTAAATGAAGATGGAGACAACGGAAGGAGAAAAGGGGAATACCAGTGTGTAACGCTTATTACCGCTGGTACATAGTTGTCCTACATTTAAAAGATGACTGGAGATTTCGAATACATTTATGAGAACTTACATTTTGTGTTAACTGCTAAATAGCTGAATTATCCAATCATTTTCATACTTCAGAAAAGATATATTATTGGAGGAAACTTGTGTTTTTTTAAAAAATAAATCTAGGTCATTTGACAAATGTATACTAGATACTACTTATCACAAATTTAAATAAAAACAGATGTTCACTACTAAGTACGCATCATAGTTTATGTGTCTGACAAGATCACCTTTCCCAAGAATTATGAAATTTTGATTTTTTGATTTCTGATTTTTGATTATAGCTTGATTCCACACCGTATTACATGGTACAGGTATGGAATTTTCAGCATGTGATATCGGTAGCCCAAATTTTGCAGGCCGACCATTGATATCTGGTGTGCGTCTGCAGGGAATCGAACCCTGGACCATGTGCATTGTCGGCGTGAGTCCTAACCGCTGTGCCACGGACGCATTTAACATATGAATAAGGCATTTAAAAGACAAATTTCGCGAGAGGATATCATTTCGCAGTTTCTTTACAACTGCTTTACAACTAACATGGTTAACAATAATAAAATAAAGATCATGGCAATTACTCAGTTAAATAAAAAACAAAAGTACATACTAATGACCAATCATATTTAAATAGGTCAAGTAGTCCATGGTAGGCGAAGGTTGTAGTCTGTTGTTTTTTGTACACACAGTTTAGGCTGTATGTGATTAATCCAAAGTGCTTCCATCACCTTCAGTAACCTTCAATTAGAGTTATATGAAATAATTGTGAAACAGTCATTAATATTGATTTTGTGACCTGACATTAATAAGTGTTTTGCAATGGATGATGCTTGATTTTTATTCAGATTACTCGCATTGGGATTTTCTATATGATTTAGTAGCCATTTTGGAACATGTTCTTTCCAACGACATTGGAATATTCTGTTGGTTCTACCTATATAGGTGTCACCGCAGCTGCAGGTGAACTTGTAGATACAGTTTGAAGTGGAGTCCACAGAACTTCGTCCTTTAATCGTAGGTACAGGGATCGAAAATGTTCGGCAAGTGAGAAAAAGAGATGCGGCGTAGAATATGCGTTTGATAGCTGACCGAAGTCTTTGAACTGCCAACTGTATCATCTGGTCACCCTTGAATGGAAGGTTAATAAAGATAGCTTTCTTTGGTACAGAAGCTGTCTTTTCGAGATGTGGTCTTTCTTTACTGTGACAAGTGATAAGGCTTTCCGGATAACCATTAGCTAAAAAACAATCTATGTGTCGAAACTCATCCATCAAAGTGTCACTCGTGCATATTTTTGGGGCACTTGAGTACAAACATTTCACTAGGGAACGTTTATACTGGATAGGAACAAAACTGGTAAAATGAAGATATGGTCCACTCCATGTCTATTTACGAAAAATAGATCGCTGAATCGTTCCATCATCTCTCCTGGCCATTGTAATATCGAGGAAACCGAGTTTGTTATTCGATTCGAGCTCGGAAGTCACTCGGATATTTGGATGAATATGATTACATAGGGTAATAAAGTTTTCAAAAGATTTACTATTATTACCAATAATGCGAGTATCATCTACATAACGTTTACACAGCATAAATTCTCCAAGCACACCTTGCATTTGTTTTTCCAATTTCGACATGAATATATCTGCTAACAGGGGCCCAAGAGGGCTCCCCATCGCAACACCAACGATTTGTTTGTATGCCTTTTCTTGGAAGGTTACTACCTATGTCAAAGGTTGGAGAAGACCAAACGGTATATGACCTCTTTCTGAGGTATTCATTTCTAAAGTACGGGTCAGTATTGATCCCGCTGTTTTCATTTCCATGCACTGGTTTTACAATGTACTTATGGTATTCGTAATTAATTTTCCAACTTAACATGTACTAAGTGAGTAAGAGAAATACTCATTTAAAATGGTGAATATTCACTTTGTAGGTTGAAGACACCAAAAAGCCAATGAACACGTGAAGTGACAATTTATGACGAGTTTCTCTTCCATAAAATATGGAATTTTACCCGGGAATTAATGCAAACTGATGCATTTGGTAACTATTGAGTACTAGCTTGATAAACCTACCGAACATTTCATTTACATGAAGAATCATAACAGATTTGATTGTGTGAAGATTGGTGGAATTATGATACTAATGTAGTGAGTTTCAAACAGTCATGCAAATGAAGGATTCTGTGTAGTACTTAAATATATTATTATTTATTATTCGCTGAGGTTCCTAGTGGAACATAGGACTTCGGCAGCATATATAATTCCACTTTAGTCTCTACAGTCTTCTTTAACTGGCTCCACGATTATCATGAAGTGTCATTTCCTCCACAGACGATCTCTTCCCTATCACTCTCATACCCACGCCAAAATAGTCGTTCTTTGTTTGTGTTCCACTCGAGGGTCTAGTGCGTGATGTCACTCAACAGTGCCTTCAGCGTGTGTTCAACCCATTCCCATTTTTACTTCCGCATATTTGTTAGGCAACAAGTTTTTGCTTGTTTCTATGATGGACTGCCATGTTTCCTAATCCTTTCTGACTGGCCATCTGATCTTCAGGATGAAGTGAAAGCAGCTGACGATAAAAGACTGCAGTCTGTTTGGAAGGCTTTTCGTAGTGTGTGCTCCAAATCTCTGAACCACATAGAAGAAATGACTTGAAAGTAGTGATGACAATTCCGAATCTTTTTGCTTATGTTTAGCGCAGAAGATTTACACATTTATTTAAGATTAATGAGTGTCTGTCTTGCTTAAATCATTCAGACTGAGTTTGACTTTCTAGTTCTTTCTAAGTGTGTCGGTGGCACAGCGGTTAGGACGCTCGCCGACCATACATATGGTCCGGGGTTCTATCCCCGGCCGATGCACCCGTTTAACTCGCTAAGCCAGTAGTATTACTGGTAAAGATGTGAGGTTGGGCGTGAGGCTAGCAGCCCCATCCTGTAAAAATAATCACCACTGCTACAGAAACTTCAAGCCTCTAGCTTGAAGCCCTATGTTCCACTGGGAACGTGAAGGAATAAAATAAATTAAAATTAAAATTGACTTTCTAGTTCACGCTGCCTAGATAAGTGAAAGAGGTGACTTCCGTCGAATTTCTCCCATTGTCGGTTATTAGTAATTGTTGTTGTTGATGGTTCTCTATCTTCATCACCATTCTCTTCTCTATTTTGATTTGAAGTCCTATCTTCGCTGGCAGCCTCTCTTGCCAACTTGTTGGTTTTCACCTGTATATCTTCCAGTTTATATGACCTAGGAAGAAGAAAGAAGGAAGACACATTGGCTAACTGGTTTCTCGAGGGCTTTCATTAGACCGCATCATTCTGTCTCTCCGAGTCTACGAAAGAATAATTTTATTGTTTATGTGGATCTGTGTCTAAAAGCGTCGGCAGTGACTGGAATGTTTTTTCCAAGTAGGATCGCTAGCCCAACCTTTACGGTTTTCTAGCTTAGGACCAGCTGCTAAACTGAAGGAAATTATTTATATACCTAATAATAGTATGAGACATGTCCTCGTATACAGCAGAATAAAAGTGACCGCAAAGCAGTACAAACCAACACTGTACTGTTCAAAGATGTATCATGTAATCATTACAGAGTTAAGGTACTTTTAGTGTAGATTGATATTTACTGATTTTACAATGCAATTTAAGAAAAGCCTTGTACTTTAACTAAGTATTCTTCCTATCTTGGATACGTTTTTGGCGGTATATACTACTGTTTGACTTATACGAGGAGCTGCAAGAACTACTGGTCGACTGATACGGTATCCAATTACTCATATCTGTCAGTCAGTTGAATATACCATCAAGGAGTTACGCTTGCTTTCTTGATTACCGTACACGCTGCTAAACAAATCACATCAATTGTTATCTGAATAATTTCCCCGCAAACTCTGCAAGCTGCGAATCGTGAATTCAGTTAGTAAATTTATGATCCGAATAAGTATAAATCATCCTGTCCAATCACAAAACAAGGTAGAAATTTACTCTTCTTTAGTTTATAGCTGTATAACCTATCGGTGAATTTTTGCATAGCATGATAATTTCATAAAATAAAATACTTGAAATAATTCCGAAATTCCAAATACCTATGCCCTTGATTATACGTTGAAAAGCATCTTGACTAATGAAGATTAATTCGCTATCATTTATACAATACAGCCAATCAACTTTATTTATCTTTTTTTAAAAATACTTATAGGAGAGTATGATAATTTGTCGTTTTTTTGTTTGACTTTACTATTGAACAACATGCATTTCGGCTTAGAAAAAATACAATCAAAATAACACTGAGTGCATAATCAAACACTTTTAAGTACAATTAACAAAGAAACTACACTATTTGCTTAATTTTCTCCTCCATTCACATGTTTTTCACCATGTTGTGCGTCGGTGGCACAGCGGTTAGGACTCTCGCCGACCATGCACATGGTCCGGGGTTCGATCCCCTGCCGACGCACACCCGATATCTATGGTCGGCCTGCAAAATTTAGGCTACCGATATCACATGCTGAAAATTCCATAACTGTACCAAAAATTAAGGTGTGGAATCAAGCTGTAATCAAAAATAAATAAAAATAAATACCTAACATAAGAAGTCATTATATTAGCAAATTATGAACTAGATACAAAAATCAAATACTTCAGTGTTATCTCTCGTTATTTATGTTTGATTAGCTTCAACTGAAATA